TCCTCAGTGACCAAGCTCTCCTGTGAACCACTCCATTGGTGTTCGTAGCAGCACCCTCTACATTTAAGATAGCTAAAACGTCCTTATAAAGCGAAGTTAGGCTGGATTCAGTGAGTCATGAACCATCCTTAGTTAGCTTCTATAGCTAGACTAATCGGTGATTCCATGTGCACTGAAGGCTCCCTCTCCTCTCTCTCTTCTGCACTCACACCATTAATTGCAGGTTAAACTTCACTTCTTCCCCGATCTTCCTTATCGTCTGCATCTTACGACCTGGTGGAGGCCTCCTGCCGATGCGCTGGATTGCCAGTACCAAGTAATTTGTGCTAGCACCTTCTGCGCTTCTGTCTGTCTCTCTCTCTGTCTCTGTTCTGCCCCTTCTCCTCTCCTCTACCCACTAGTCGAGACAGACGACACCTAGAGCGAAGGATCTGTCCTAGTTTCTGCCTGTTTGTTTTTTTTTTTTTGTTTTTTTTTGTTTTTTTTCTATTTTTTTTTTCTTTTTTTTTTTTTATATTATTTGGTTTTTTTTTGCTGGTTTTAATTTTTTTTTTTCTTTTTTATTTTTTATTTTTTGTTTTGTTTTTATTTTTTTATTTTTTTTTGTTTTTTTTTTATGTTATAATTTGTTTTATTTTTTTTTATATTTTTACTTTTTTTTATGTTTTTTATTTTTTTTTTAGTTTAATTTTTTTTATTTTTTTTTTCTTTTTTTATTGTTTATTTTTTTGTTGTTTAGTTGTCTTGTAACATATGATAGGTTTGTTCGTAAAAAGTTTTAATTCAGCTCTATAAATCTGAGAATATTCAGCTCGTGCCTGTAGGAAAAACCACACTCTCATCTGCCACAGTGCGTATCCTGTAGATCAAAAAGCGTATTTCCTTCCCCTTTGCCATTTACCATTTACCATTATGACCCAACAACAAACTTTTTTTTTCTCTGGGGCCCCTTAACAGGTAAATCCCTAACCCTTATCTTAGATTTCATAAGATGATCGCGTTTTATACGTAAAACTTGATTTCTGTCAGGAACTAGTAACTTAAAGGTTTTAT